GAATTAAAAATTGTGGTTGAAGTGGACTCTATTTTGGGCACCATCAAAAGAAGAATATCAGCTGGCCAGGAAGATACTAGAGTTAAGAAATTGGATAGAAGTCCAGAGCTGAGAGTGCTGGGCCCTGCCTGGTATTTCTAACTCCCCATGTTATGAAGGAGCCAGAGACTGAGACAAGAGCAAGAGAGAGGGAGGAAGGAGCTGGTGTATGGTGGTGTTGGTATGTAGACTTGTGCCTGGATCTGAGTACCTGAGAGAATCCATAAATGCCCCTTTAAGCTTGTGCACTTGTCTGTGTTAAGGTCCTCCTGTGAGTGTAGCTTCCAGGTACATGTGTCTACATTTTCTCTAACACATAGATCTGCACAACTCTGCAGGTATGTGTGTAAATGACTGTAAGTGGGTGTCCATGAGTGCACACAAGTGTATACTCTGGTCCAAGTAGATGTGAGTGCATGTCTGGGTCTGTGTGTCTGGAGGTACCCGGATAGGTCTGAATCTGTGGGAAAGCACATATGCCTATTTTTGTGTCCTGGGGCATCTGAGTGCTTGTTACCAAAAGTAATAATTTTCTCCGGGTTTAGGGCTACCAGCTGCCTGGGAGATAGAGCATCTGGTTCTATAGGTCTTAAGTAGCCTTTCCTTATTTTGTGACGTTAAATAAGTCCTTTCCACTTTTTTCAAAGTAGATACCTTGCAGACGGGGGCCCCAGGAGTGGGTTCTGAGTCAACACCAGCAGCAGCTCAGCATCCAAGGAGCCCAGCTCTGTGTCAGGTGTCACAGGGAGAATCAACATAGATCAGTCATCGGAGCTCCCCATCACCAGAAATGTTTATTTAGGGGACGGGGCCAGGGAGGAAATTGACTTTTACTATTTGTTAAGTACTTTCTATTACCTCGTTTAATCCTCACAGTAAACTAAGAGGATAATATTATGATTCCATTTTAAGAGAAAAAAAATGAAGCTCAAAGACGTTGAATAACCTCCCTGAAGTTTCACTTACATGCTTTGTACATGCTGTTCCCTTTGTCTGTCCAGTGAATGCCTTGTACTTTTAGCTGGCCCTGCTCAAATGCCACCTCTTCTTTGGGGTCTCCCCTGACTTTGCCAGGAGTGTTAAAACTAAGGCTTGTTCCAGGCCTAAGGTTAGATGGGAAAAGGCAACGAAATATTTGCCCTCAGAAGGTTCATCACCTAGTGGGACAGAAGAAGTCACTTTAATATCAGGCAAATGAGAGCTAAGTTCCAAATGAGGGTAACATTTGGGCTAGAGAGGCCAGGAGAGGAGATGGCGCTTCTTAGAGGAAGAGAAGCCAGAGCTGAGTATTGAAATAAGACAGGGAAAGCATATGGTGTTGGAGGAGAATATTGAAAGTGCCATGGGCTGCCAAGAGAACAAAGAGATCTGTGTTGGAAGAAGTGCAGTCAGAGGGCTCCTTGGTGGCCAGGATGGACAAACTTCATTTCTCATACTTCAGACACATTTTCAGGAGGGACCAGTCACTGGAGAAGGATATCATGTTTGGTAAGGTGGAGGGTCATAGAAAAAGAGGAAGAACCCCAGCGAGATGGATTGGCAAAGTGGCAGCATCGATGGGCTCAAGTGTGGCAACAATTGTGAGGTAGGACCAGGATCAGGTAGTGTTTCATTCTATTGTACATAGGGTTGCTAAGAGTTGGTACCAACTCAATGGCACGTAACAACAACAACAACAACATTGAAATAAGACAGGGAGAGCATTTGGGAAGACACGTGAGGAAGGTGTAAACAAGTGACAGGGACAAGGCCATCCTACCTGGGCAATGAGAGGAGGAAACATGTGGAAGCATTTGGAGCTAAGATTGAACAAGACTGCAGGGAGCCATACTGAAAGGCTGAATATGTTTGCACTGTATTCAGTGGGCATTGGGGAGACTGGCTGGATAGTACACACAAGTGGGAACAACATGGAATTCCAAGGTCCCTTAATATTCTGACTTTCTCCTCCTCTAGAGCCGCCTCGCTAACTAGCAGGAAACTGCTGAGGTCTCTGGGCTGAAATGATGACAATGGATCTGTCCTCAGGACTGGTCACCTCTGGCCAGGATGAAGAACCACACACAGACTCTGTAGACAGTGTTGAGGTCTGGCATACAGCTCCTCAGGTGAGAGGACCCAACATTTCTCTGCAATCTTCTTGCTTTGTGTCCTGCCTTCCTCCCCATTCACCCCCATTCTACCTTGTAGCATTAGGGAGGAGGAGGTCAGAGTTTAGCTCTAGTTTACCAGTGCCTTCACATTCCCTCCCTCTGCATGAAAGGCCTTTCCTACTCCCAAGCTTCCATCCACCTGATAATTTCCAACTCACTCTTCCAGACCTCATCCAAATTTCCCCTCTTCTTTGTAATCTTCCTTGAATCAGTTATGGAGTCCCTGGGTGGCTCAAATAGTCAGGTGCTTGACTATTACTTGTTGTTAAGTGCCAGTGTTGTTGTTAAGTGTCGGTCCTGACTCATGCTGACCCTGCATAGGGTTTCCAAGGCTGTAAATCTTTGCAGGAGCAGAAAGCATCATCTAGCCCACAGAACGACTGGTGGACTTAAACTGCCAATCTTGCGATTACTATTTCAGTGCCTAGCTGTAGGAGCCACCACGCTTCCAAGTATTAACCAAAAAAACTGGCAGTTCAAAACCACCCAGAAGTACTTTTAAAAAAAAGTCTGAGTGTTCTGCTTCTGGAAGTTCCCAGTCTTGAAAACCTTATGGAGTACGGTTCTACTCTGCACCCATAGGGTCACTGTGAATCAGAAGTGACTCAATAGGCATTGGTTGGTCTGAAACAGGCAGGCAAAGAATGTCACTCCCATTTTGTTCATACAGATTGTGTAGTGCTTATTACAGTATACATGGCTGATGGGCCTCGATGGCCTCAGAACCCAAACCTGATACTCAATAGGCAGACATGAAACGTATGGTTGAAGTGCTATACATCCCCAACTGGGAGAACTGTAGCCCATTCTCATTAAGAATCTGAAATTAAGTCTGTAAGAAAGAGTCCAAGGTACCAAGGTGTTTCATTTGAGGGAAAGAAGACTTAGTAGACAGAGATTAGATTCCTTCAACCATTATGTGAGAAGCTTCTGAGAAAACATACTTGACATGTGTAACCCTAGAGACCAGTGGTGCCTGGACTAGTATAAAGAATATATGAAGTCCTGGTATGGTGCTATAGGATAAGCACTCAACTGCAAGGTCAGTTTGAACTACAAGGTCTGTGGTTCAAACTCACCAGCCACTCCTTGGAAACCCTATATAGGGTCGCTATGAATCGGAACCTACTCAATAGTGCTTAACCAAGGGAAAAAAAAAAAGAGAGACCAAAACTGGGTCCACGAGTTGAAGCTACCCAGAAGTTTTCAGCTGAGATTAATGAAACATATACGTAGTGGCCTGGACCACTTTGAAAAGCCAAAGCCTTCAGAGGTTGGGGGGAAGAACGAACATCTACCTATAGACCATCCATTCTGTGCTGAGTGCATGTGCACACATGACCTCATTTACTCATGGTATCAACCACGTGAGATAGAAATCAGTGCCCTCATTTTAGAGACAAGAAGAGTGAAGATGACTTAAAGATGGGTAGATGTTTCACAGCTGTGTGGAGCCTGGGAGGGAAGGTCTATGACTATGCAGAGAAGAATCTTGTACTCAGAAAAGAATGAACTTGAGGAGGCCAAGGTCCTAGCTCTGAGACCGAGTGAGGGATTCTGAATGTGGCTGGCATGGATACAAGCAGATTATTTCCTTGGTACAACAAATAGATGACCATAATAGAGAAGCAGAGAAATGGAAAGGAAAAAAAAAAAAAAAAGGCTGTATCTGGAGTTTCTCTTGAGAAGCAACCGATGAGATCCCTGTTGTTTGCCCAAAATCTCTTCTTCTTCACTTTCCCTTTGTCATTGTTTTCACTTATTGTGCTTAAAAACCTTCAGTCAACAAATGTTTGTTATACATTGCATGTACAGATGACTGAGCAAGACAGTAAGATGCATCCTTTGCTCACAACAAGCTTCCTTGCTAATATAACATTCCTGGCAAAAGGTGGCTGGCTAGATTAGTAATAGAACATTCCTAAACCTCGCAGCAATAGGGGAAAAGAGGCGGTGGTGGTGGTGGTGGTGATTGCGTGCCACCAAATCAGTTCCAACTCATAGCGACCCTGTAGAGGGTTCCCGAAACTATAAATCTTTCCAGGAGCAGAAAGCCTCATCTTTTTCCCATGTAGCTACTGGTAGATTTGCACTACTGATCTTGTGGTTAGCAGACCAGCTCATAATCCACTATGCTACCAGGGCTCCTTGAGTTAGCCAGTAGATGCTGAGTGATCAAATGACAAATTCAGTCAGGTATTTTTTGAGGAAAATTAAACTGATTTCAGGAAGTCTGGGTCCCAGTCCCAGCTTTGCCCCTGTTTGACTCTGTACAAGCAAATAACAACAGACAGATGCATATATGTGTATATATACACATATACACACATATATAGAGAGAGAGAAAGGTAGGTACGTAGGTAGGTTGGTTGGTAGATAGATGCATAGGTAGATAGTAGATCGATAAATCATTTTGAGTACTTATTATGTGGGGGGCATTATGTGCTAAGTATCTTAATATCTTATCCACTTGTATCCTTATAACCAACTTCAGAAATAGCTACTATTTTCCTCATTTAAAGAAGAAACTGAGGTTCAGAGAAATCACACCATCTAAGTGGCATTTCCAGGATTCAAAACCAGGCCAAAGCTTGAGTCATTGCCCACTAACCTAAAACACTCTTCTGAGATTCAGTTTCTTCGTCTTTAAAATTAAGATCATCAAATCAGTCAAACCATTTTAGCAAGAGTATTTATTATTATTATTATTATGTTAAAATGGAGCCCCTATATCTCGGGAAGTCTACCCAGAGCTCCCAGCATTCAGGCCATTTCTCCTCTCAGCATTCGTACTCGTCCAGGCATTCCATGACTCTGGCCAACCTCACATCTGCCCCAGGGTTCCTCCTCCTCGGCCTGATGGACCAGCCAGACGCCTACCCCCTGTTGTTCCTGCTCTTCCTGGGCGTCTACCTGCTCAATGCCCTAGGCAACCTGAGCATGGTGGTGGTTGTAAGGTTCCATTCCGCCCTCCGCTCTCCCATGTATTACTTCTTGGGTCACCTGAGCCTCGTGGACGTCTGCTTTACCACCGTCACGGTCCCCAGACTGCTGATCGGCCTGCTCCACGCGGGCCAGACCATCTCCTTCCAGGGATGCTTTGCCCAGATGTACTTCTTCGTGGCTCTGGGTATCACTGAGAGCTACTTGCTGGCAGCCATGTCCTATGACCGCGCGGTGGCGGTGTGCCGCCCGCTGCACTACGGCGCTGTCATGACGCCCGGGCGCTGCGCGACGTTGGTGGGGACCTCCTGGGCTGTGGCCCACCTCCACTCACTGCTCCACACTCTGCTCATCTCCGCACTCTCCTACCCCGCCTCCGCCCCTGTGCGCCACTTCTTCTGTGACATGACAGTGATGCTGAGCTTGGCAACCTCGGACACATCTGTGGCGGAGGCTGCCATCTTTTCCGAGGGCCTGGCCGTGGTGCTGACTCCCCTCCTCCTCGTGTCCCTCTCCTATGCCCGCATCCTTGTCACAGTGCTCCAAGTACGGTCGGTGGGGGGACGGCACCGTGCCTTCTCCACCTGCGGTGCCCACTTGGTGGTGGTGTCACTTTTCTTCGGCTCTGTCCTTTCTGTGTATTTCCGACCGTCCTCTGTCTACTCAGCCCGCTATGACCGCCTGGCCAGCGTGGTCTATGCGGTGGTCACGCCGACCTTAAACCCTTTTATCTACAGTCTTCGCAACAAGGAGGTGAAGGGTGCCTTAAAAAGGGGGTTCAGATGGACGGCTGCACCCCAAGAGTTGTGAGAGTAGGCCTGGATTCCAGGCATCTCAATGATAATAACAATTATAAAAGACCTTTTTCTCTCTCCTCTTTTTTTTTGCTTTCCAAAGTACTATCACGTTTGTCCTGTGGCATGTTATTTCTTGTCAAGTAAAAATTAGATCAGAAGCAAATCCTAAAATGTGTATTCTTATTGATGGGTACATGTTGTTAGTGCCATCCAGTCAACTTCAAGTCATAGCGATCCTCATAATATAGAGTTTCCAAGGAGTTGCTGGTGGGTTTGAACCCCTGACCTTGAGGGTAGTAATCCAGTGCTTATGCTACAGCACCACACCAGGACTCCAATGGGTACGTTGTTGTTGTTACTGTTAAGTGCCATCAAGTTGGTGCTGAATCATAGCGACCCTGTATAGGGTTTCCAAAGAGTAGCTAGTGGGTTTGAGCTGCCAACCTTGTAGTGTACAGTCCACTGGTGATCCTACAGCACCACACCAGAAGTCCAGTGGGTACATATCAATAGGTTAAATTAGTTTTATATTGTTTGAATGTTTGTATTTGGTTATACTTTTAAATATGGGAAAATTTGAAAGTGAACAAGGTGAGTGGGCACAGAGAAGAAGTCTTGCAGTTTAAGGAGAAGGAAAAATACAACCATTATCAACCAAGTGGAGAGGAACCAGCAAAGACTTTAAAAGAATTCAAAGGTGTGCTGGATGTGCTTTAGTGTAAGGAACATTCTGGTCAATTCCTCTGCAGGAGGATTCCATACCTTTCTAACAGGTCCATCCATGTATTTCTTCTACAAAAATATCACCAAACTTCATTCATAATGATTCATCTAATTCAGGAGCATCTGGACAACCAGCCAACCAAAACCATTCTTTTTCTCTGGCCATCTCTCTCTTTGCAGGCAAAATGAACAGGGAGCTACATCTCAAAGAGTTTCACTTCCTGGGTGGGTTTTCCTATTTCACAGCCCTCCAAAACTGCTTTTGAGCTGGCCTATAATATTGACATTCACTTTGGGCTGGTGCCAACATAATATGCAAAATCATCTGTAAAATGGGTTTGTTTTTTTCTTTCTCAAATGGCTGTAGAGAACATACAAGAGTTTAGGAAGAGGCCACTGAGACAGGCTTGTTGGGAGGTGAGGCATCCGCTCACACAGCTTCCTGTGACTTCAGGATTTGCTTGGGGGTGTTGCTGAAAGAACTATACAACACTCAATTCCTAATTGGGTCATCATGCATACAATCCTTACCCCGGACTCTAGAACCAAGAATTGTTTTTCAACAGGACAATAGTCCCTTGCCAAAAAGAAGGCGGCTTTTCTCCAAAACTGCCTCTAGCAGTGTTTCTCTTGCCACCCTGGGCCACAGGCTTTATGCAGCACAGCTGTCTGTTAGAGGCTTTGAGAATAATTGGCTTCATCTCCTGCTCTGAACTTTCCTCAAAGGTTTTTATTTCTTCTTTTTTCTCCCTTAATAATTTTATAAATTTATTCTACAGTTTCATTTGGATTGTCTCATTGCCAGTTTTGTTTTTTTTTTTTAATGAGCCATAATTTATTTACTCAGACCCCAACCAGGAAACATTTTAATTGTTTCTAAACAGACTTCCAATAAACATGATTATATACAAGAGGGCTTCAAAAAATTCATGGAAAGCTCAAAGATAATGGAATTTTCCCATGAACTTTTTTTTCTTAAATGTTTTATTGTGAATTATGTGATCGTTTACATGGGAGAACATTAGTTTTACATTCATCCTATCGTATATCATTTCATTGCCATGGTTACAATCCCCTCCATGCATCATCAACCAACCA